ATATATCTATATAAATTAGATGATAAAGAAAAGAAGACAATTCAGAATATAGAAACCAATAAACAAGGACCATTCCAATATCTATTATATGACCAAGTACAATATAAACTTTTTATGCCAAGTATCTTCTTGTATAAAGAAAAATTATTTGAATTATTAATACCATATTATGAGAATGAACATCAATCTCGATATAGAAGGATCACACCCTTCATGATATATGATCCACACAAATTAGACATAAATAGTGAATTTCCAAAAGAATTATTCCCAAAAGAGAAAATATACCCACCAACAATTAAGGGGCAACAAACAAAGACGAACCAATAGGATGGCTGAATTACCTGTACAAGCAATTCTTACTTTTAATGCTAAGGGCTCAAGAACACAATAGCATGTACAGAAAACTTGAGAAATGTGCCGACGATTATCATACCAGAAAAAGAAAAATCAAATTGACAATCTTACTAATGATCAATCTGAAATTAAGACAAATAATGAAAATCGTAAATAAATAGAAGAAAACAATAAGTATATTGTTATACACAAATCCGATAGTTATACTAACGCCAAACCAACTCAGAAAAATATTCAACTTTAATAGCACTATACCAAAAATTCAGAAAACCTCAAAAAAATTGCAAAAATGCTAAATTTAACAAAGAATCAATTTAATTATTTAATTTAACAATAGTTTAATACAATAGAATAGAAAAAGTTAATTTTAATTATAGTCTTTTATTATTCAACATTTGAAACATGTACTACTTGAAAAAGTATTTAACTACCGAAATTTAACTTAGCTAGAACTTGTACGTTCGCATCTGCAACTAAGTTTGATACTTAGTACATTCATAATTTTGAAACTTAGATAGCTTCATTTTATAATTTACCCTTGAAACATTGATTGTTTTATAAATTATCCTTCACATAATAATAACCCAATAGAGTATAAATGCCTGCAACCTAAATAATCATATAATGAATATCGTAAAGAAATTACTATAAAAAAATAAATCTAACTAGCATATATTCTTATAATAATAACCTGTATACATATTAATAAACATATTTAATAAATGAAAAACTATTTATAAATTATAAACAAACTTGATTCTTAATATCTATTGAAAGTACTTAAGTAACGAAGAAGTAAAAAGTATTTAATACATCTGGCTATTAACCAGACTACTTATGTTTGACTCAAAGAATTGATCACTCTACGACGAATACTGCAATCATTTAATAAAATAATCCATATTAAGTTATTTTACTATAATGTATCCAAAAAGATAAAGATAATTATTTATCTTATATTAACACTACTAGCCTTCATAATTTACAATGATCTAGATAACATTTTACAACCAAATCCAAAAATACACTGCATAATTATTTTAGAAAAAGAACTACTATCTCAAAACCAATCTTCTCAACATTTACAAACAATACTTGAACATAGCTATAGATATCAATGACAAAAGTTCAACAATACATATTATATAATTTATTGTCCAAAAAAAGTAGCACAACTTAGAAAACCTTGAAAAAATATATTTGCAAATACTGACGTAATAGTACTAATTACATTAATGTCAACATTAACAAGTACAACATTATCCTCAACAATATCAATGCCATTTAGCATAATACAAAATGCCAAAGAAAAGCCAATACAATCAATACAAATAATAGTAGCAACACCAAGTGCAGAATCAACAAACAATAATAATCAAACCCTAATCACATTATTAGAAATATTAGGCACAATATTAGCAATACTTACTGCAATAATAACAATACTTACAATCTGTTATAAATGACAAAGACACTGAAAACAACAATATAAACAACAATTAGAATTACCACCTGTTGGAATACAAACTGCTCAAGGACTACCAAACAATACCTTTCAACAACCTATTGCACCCTTATCAGAAAGCAACTTAAACAATCTTGCAAACCAATTAAAAACCAAAAAGAAAAATAAACAACACCTATTAGTACAAGGAACAGGAATAAACAGATCAGACACCATAAAAAATATCATATACAAACAGCCACAGATTACACATATAACTCATCAGATGTAACATTTACAACCTGGAAATAAAAGTACTAGAAAAACTATCAAAAGAAATTACGATTAAAATATTCTTCAAAATAGACAAGACACCCAACTATTATATTCTTACGATTGTTTAAAACAATCTAAAGACTTAACAAACCTTCTTAACTCACAACAATCTAACAAATAGTCAACAATATCAACCACAATCACTACAATACCACCAGCATTGTCTACTAGAACAACTCTTAGAAATAATTGCAATTCAAACATATTCACTAACCAACAATCGCTAATACTATTCTTTATTATACTAATACTTATACTTCTCAATATAACCACTATACTATTATGTTGCTGTGTACTACAGTGCAAACAAAAAAAAGAAACTATAAAAAGAACCCTCAATCTGCATATTACACTCAAGAAAGACAAAACTGCTTAATACTCTAAATGCAAAACATCTCAGAAACTATCAGTGATACTATAGTACTCACTATCACAATTGTTATTGTATCAATACTCATAATCGATCAGAATAACTACTATCATAATTATAACTTGCAAAAAGAACTTCACTAGACAAAGAACTACTGGTCAACCATCTATCCTACCCTTACAATAAATGTTAAAACTCTTAAACCTTGAAAAGAAAAAAAGAAAGGAATTATCAAACACAAACACTTATAATAATGCCCGATACCTATCAACAAGACAAGAACTAGACGAGCCATTATTAAACCTGAATTACCAAGAAGCCTTTAAAAGATTCGAAGACTCATTACCAAATCTACCAAACCAAAACCAAAGATATTTCAACAAAAGAAGCCTAACACATTTACAAAATAGATTAATACCAAACCTTAGATATCTAAACAACCAACACTCATATAAACCAGTAAAACCTAGAAAAAGTAATCAATCACACAGATTCAACTATTTTAACCTGATACTAAGCAAAACAAATAAACTACATGAACAACAGTTTAATCCAAACTATTGAAGAAAGACAAGTTATATTCTCAACAATACAAATACTAACACCAACTATAATACAAAATATATCAATAACCAATACCCAAACTGCAACTTTAACTACAACCTACACTCAACAAATAATACCAAGCTACTTTACTGACTCTAACGTAGTAACCCAAGATATAGTAACTGTAATAATAATTATATTAATAGTACTAATATATACTTGCACCAACTATTGACGAAATATATTAGAAAATGAATGAATAATCGAACAACAATGAAAGAAGCAAACAGACTTTACGAAACTGTACAATCAGTACTATTGACAAATATACCTCTTAATGCAACTTATCAAATGAGCAGCAATTAGAATTCTCTTACAACTAGATATACTTATATTATCATTACTATACATCACCATTAACTTACTATTTATAGTAACAACAATAATATTCATAATAACTAAAACAACATACGTTATAATTGAAGAAATATACAAAGACTACGTAATACAAGAATACACTCTATTACTATATAATAGAATACTACTCATATTACAAGACAAACCTTATATACTACAACAATCCAAAACTACTTAAAACTGGACACAACAATCCAAGACTTCATACCTAAATAAACTACAACACAACCATATAGTGGATGACTGAAAGATTACTTATACTTATAACACTCAACCCAGACTTAATACGACTATTTGAAATATCGATAAAATACTATATTATATATCTGATTACATACGTAATCGCACAATATATACATCTTATTGTAACAGCAATAAATGTCAAAACAGAATCAAAAGAAGAAAAATGAACCAATTGAATTTATAGACAAAGAATATACAATAGACTTTAATAAATTACTAGAAGACTTATTACGACCAACTGAATCAGAAGAACAATTGAAATATCAACCTTTGAACTAGACAGAACAACTGTTTTATTCAAGAATTAAACTATTAATAAACAACAAAAAATCAGTAACACTAATGAACATAGAAAAAGCAACTTATCTTATTTGTGCAATACGGTCCAATGAACCAAACGAAAAATTACAAAACATAGTCCAACAATTTAACTTAAATCTAGAAGAAGCAATAAAAGCAACAAACACAAAATACCAACTTAAATGAGCAAAAATATTAACTACCGAGAAGTATTAAACCGATATTATTCTTTTGACAACTACCACTATAACAAATATATGAGATACTATAAAACCTTTGCAAGAAATCTAAATACATCAAGAAAACCTATATTTATTCAAATCAACAACGAAATATACCTTGACAAAAACAAATTTGATAGAAACGAACAACTAATCCAACAAGCACTAATACGAATACATAACAACTCAATAACAGAAAATCAAAAAACAGGAGCACTAATATCCTGTCACGTAGTAAAAGATATAACAGCATTACTATTATTATTATAATCAGACAGATTACAACTAGAAGACTATATAAGATTTTGTGCACATACAAATGTAAAACCAATCAAACTACCAGAAAAAGTAATACTATAAAATGGCATTCACCGGAACAACAACAGAATTTCCATCTCTAGAAAAAATAGACTTTACCAAAGTCATAGACGGAATGAAATTTAATAAACAAAATTTCTGAAATTCTATAGAATATTCATGAGAAATATCCAAAGCCACGTATCAAAAGAATTACTTACAACCGGATTCTTTACTGAAAGTAAATACTCAGGATACCAAAGAATAGATGATATGGCAACAATAGTAGCTAACCCAACAGAAGACGATCTATATAGAGGACAATTCAATGTTGTATATATGAAACAACTATGGTGAAAATTAATATTACAAACATTCAATAAAATATATCAAGATGCATACTTTGAAATGGAAGAACACTTTACGTGCATATTCCCAAGTGACTGGCATAATAGACAAAGAACACCATCTGATACGTGTACTAAATCACATACAGGAGGAGGCAATCCAAATTCACTCAAAATAACAAAATATTTTTTAATAACACTCCATGTTAACTACAGAGTATTTAACATAACTCCTGCAAATGTAATAAAACCAGGACAAGAAAATTTATTAACTGACTAGCCTGCCAATACCAACTCAGTAGCAGCACGATCTAAACAAGTATCCATAATACTATGGATGCATGAAAAATATATTACACACAAACATCAAGAAACTGTACAAGAAATATTTGCAAAATTCTTATTCAACTTCAAATATGTAAATGAAGAAGAATTCTTAGACATAAAACAAGAATACTACAGACTCCAAGAAGAAGCAAATGATAGAACAACATGGCCCCAAGGAGGCATATTCCAAATCTACAAAAGATTACCTAGTGGAAGACACCATGCAGAAGATTACAGAGCTGCAATACAACTATTAGGAAGACAAACATCTTACGA